CTGAGCCAACTCCCGCAGGAGTCCCCCTACATTTAATCCTACTGCAGGAGTCCCTTTTCCTGACTCTTGCAGGACACTGGCCCCGCAGCTACTCTCACAGGAGTTAGCATTGAAGTCTTCAGCTCCTTTTACCTCCTATACTCCAGCACAGGATGCTCCACTTTCTGTAAATACCCATTTTTTCTTCTCTTTTTCTTCTTTCATTCCAGCATTTAGTCCTTCCCTACTTACTTTTTTCTTAGCGACAAAGTTCACAGCAACTAATCTTCCTTCCCCATAGGCCCTCATTCCCTTGCTCTGACTCCCGAAGGAATTACCCCGAGGTCACACTCCCGCAGGAGTTCCCTCTTGCACTGCTACGAGAGAGAGCCCCGGACTCAAGTATCTCACTAGGTCAGGGCTCTCTCCTGGGACAGCGTGCCAAGCATGCTTTATAATCAATCATCGGCTAAGGGTAAACTCTTGAAATGTAAATGTGAACAATTCAGTGATGAGTGGCCCAAATTTTCTTCACAAATTTTCTTCACAGTGCTGTAACAGACTCAAAAATGCTTAAATGCATTTGTTGCTGCTAAGGGTGGCCAATCCACTTATAAGGTTAGGTGGTAAACACTTTTTAACAGGACTATGTATTTTGATTTCCCTTATTAATAAAAACTTGTTTGTGTGTTGTGTTATCTTTAACTAATATTTAAATTTGGTCAATGATCTGAGACATTAAAATGTGACAGACGTGCAAAACAAGAACACTGTTTAACACCATTGTAACTGGTACTCAGATGAACACAATTAAAATGTGGGAGAGATAGCATGGCATAGAAGCGCTTTCTGCATACCAACATTGTTAGTCTTTTTGGACCTTGCCACCCAAATTAATGCTTGATAAGGAATTTCCCCATGTCAAAGGGCGTAAGATAATTGCTACACATAAATTGTTTGCTGTGTAAAACAATATGGTTGTTTTTGTTATATAAAATAACAAAAAAATATAACATTTTTTAGTAGAAATTGCAGTATAGGCTTAAATTTAGTTACCTCAGATTTAATTAGTTTCTTTGTAAATCAAATGCTGCTGGACAGAACTTGGCCTCATGTAACTTTTCCATGCTTGTTTTATACTAAGAATATAATTGTAAGGTTAAACAGCAATGAGTGGTGGAATGTGGCTAGTAAATGCTGACCTCTTTTGGAGAGTTCTTGGTGTTGCAACAGTAGATGCAGATGACACACACACAAGCACGCACGCACGCACGCACGCACGCTCACACACACACACACACTCAAGCAGACACACATACACACACACACACACACACACACACACAAACAGATCCATACAGACAGGCCCAAAGACACTCACACACACAACACACACACACACACACACAAACAGATATACAGACAACACATACACACAGGCCTTTAGACACACACACACACACACCCCCAAAAAGATATAAAGACCCCACTCTGACACACACACACAAACACACACACACACAAACACACAAACAGATCCATACAGACAGGCCCGCAGACACTCACACACACACACACACACACGCACACAAACAGATATACAAACAGACATACACAAAGGCCTGCAGACACTCAGACACACACACACAAACACACAAACACACACACACGCACACACACACACAGGCCTACAAAATAACACACAAGTTCAGATATACACACACAAGGCGACACAAACCCACACACAAACACATGCACACTCAGATATACACACACACAGACCTACACAGGCGCACACACACAGACACATATACCGACACAAACACTCACATACACACACACAAATATACACACACACAGACCTACTCAAGCATTCTCACACACACACACACATATTCACTTTACGTTGTGAGAGTGTGTATGTGTGTGTCATTTTTAATGTGTGTGTGTGTGTGTGTTTTCTCTCTTGCAGTCATCAGAGTCAGACAACGTGCTGGGATCATCCCAAGATGACAGAGCTCTACCATTCTCTCTGTAAGTGACACACACACACACACACACACACACACACGTACGTATGCACATACACACCCACCAATGTGTCAGAAACACACAGCTGAATAGATACTGGACAGCATGTGTCCACCGAGGCCTGCTGCCGGTGAAGGTGTGTATTTGTGTGTGTGTGTGTGTCCACGTCTCTGTAAGATTGGAAAGCCCATGAGACACACATATACACACAACAAACACACACACACACACACACACACATGAACACAGGATAGACTCAAACACGACACACACTTTTAGCTTAAGGTTTGACCAACTTTAAATCAAGTATCTTTAAGGGGTCAGTTCACTTAAAAATTACAGTATACTCAGTATTTACTCTCCCTCGAGTGCTTTCAAACTTTTTTTTTCTTCTGTTGAACACTAAAGAAGATATTTTGAAGAATGCTGAATCCTGTACAGTAACTGTTAGCTTCCATAGCAGGAAAAACAAATACAAAGTCAATGGTTACAGCCGTTCATTAATTCATGTTCAGCTCAGTCCCTTCATTCATCAAAGGTCCCCACAGCAGAATGAACCACCAACTATTCCAGCATATGTTTTGCACAGCAGATGCCCCTCCAGCTGCAACCCAGTACTGGGAAACACCCATACACTTTCACATTCGTAAACACTCATACACTTCGGCCAATTTAGTTCATCAGTTCCCCTAAAGCGCATGAGTTTGGGCTGTGGGGGAAAAACCCACGCCAACACAGGGAGAACATGCAAACTCCACACAGAAATGCCAACTGTCCCAGCCAGGACTCGAACCAGCGACCTTCTTGATGTAAGGTTACAGTTCTAACTACTGAGCCACTGTGCCACCCTACAGCTTTTCAGCATTCTTCAAAACATCTTTAGGGTGTACAAAAAGCATTA